ATTATGTATCTTTTATTAATGTTTGACATAAATAAATTTGTTGATCGTCATTTGTCTTAGAGTTCCGTGTACCAAGGGACATAATCCAAGATGCCGATTTCTCAGAATCGTCGATCTTTTCCTGAAAAAAACTTGAATTTTTCTATACCTGTGTATTTTACGCACCCCCCACTTTGGGTATTAAATTTCTGAAAAAAAAGTGCGCAAATTACATGGGTTTTTACGGTATATGCTCACTTACGATCTATCTTACTGTAAACATGTGATAGATAACCTCATGAAGTATTTCAATATTTAATAAATGAAGCATTGTAAAATAGTGTAGTCTGATTTGATTTTTCCCCCCTTTTGATTAGATTTGAAGAGGATGTATTGAATTTCAGTCCACGCTTCTAGTATAAACATATTTTTTATAATCCCTTTTCGGTCAGATCAGTCTGTAGTTCTGACAGTGCAGTAGCCCTTCATGCCACATGTTGGTGTCAGTGTGACATTAAAGTCGCTCACCACTTTAAATTGAATTGCTTCAGTAACACGTCGAACATCAATATCTATTATATAACCTCAGATATGTGTTCTTAATGAACAGTAGTGGGAAAACATGCATGGAGAAAAGAGACATTGTACTCCTTTTATTTATTTTTTATTCGTATTAATAATAATTATCAATATATGTAGTGACTTTATTAACTGTCATTGAATATACAAAATCTCACAAATGTTCTTGTAATATATTTGAATTATATTTCTCAATGCGACTTTACCAACGTTATTTCCCTTATACCGGATTGGATAATATTTTGACACGGCGCGAATTCTTGTCAAACAGCTGCGGCAGTTGTGTCATGTTCTTAAATTGTTACATTTTCATAATAAATGCACCAGAAAAAGTATGCTGTGTTACATAAATGTTTGATAAGCATACACAGTTCACATATTGTCTCGTCTCGAAGTCATTACCGTTATCAACCTAAGCACGATATGGTATATCATATTACGTTCCCTTTTGAAACATCAAAATAAAGGTTATACTTCATCACTCATACGGTTTATAAGTATATATATTTACTTCTTTCTTCTACAGACAGAGTCTTCACATGTGCTTTCTCAATTCATATGTCTTTCACACGCGTAAACCTCCTCAGACCTCAATCCCAGTTGCTAAAACGCTCAAACCCAGTGCACGAATTTCACCACCACAACACTCGTAAAATGCACCGGAGATAAACATTTTGTTTTCAGCAATTATTTAAAGTATGGATTATCATTTGGAGATGAGTATCAGAAGTCTTTATGTAACCCACAGGTGAGTGTCAGAGATTCTACTTTCTATTTACGATAACGAAACTATACAGCGGAAGCATGCAAGACTGAATTATGCACACGCACACCGAACGGTAGTGGGTCCGTCATTTCGTTTTCTGGACAGAATTAATAAGCTGCTCGGCTCTCGCCAAGAGCAGCTTAAAAACACGACCACGACTGCAAATGATTTCAATTAAATTTCAGTAGAGCTATTGTTAGTCGGTTATCACAGGGTGTTAACTAATTACTGCATTGTAATTTGTATTAACTGTAGTGTTGATAAGTGTCAATACGGGGCTCGGGCTGGCGATCGCATGATTGGCGATTTGAAACCGCACTTGACGAAAAATGTTGACGAGGGGCTTTTATTTAAGTTACTGTTGACATAAGAAAAAACGTTGGCGCAATTGAGCAATTGTTTCAGGTAAATTTAGCCCCCTTACACCACTCATGTATTACGATGTCACGGCTGAATGCATTTCCAATGAATGGCAAGGTCAGAATATTGTTACTCTTTTGTGGTTTTTTTTACAAAATGGTCACCTGTCAACACATCTCCGTCTGATATATCAAAATAGCCAATTATCCAATTATGACTATATTGTCTAGTTCCGAGGGGTTCTCTGTGGAGAAAAATAGGGTAAGTTGGGGTGAGAAAAGGGTTGTTATAATTGGATTAGAGTATGTAGGTGCTGCAGTAAATCACATGAAGTGATGCGGGGCAATAACGAGGCACGAGTGTGTGTTTACATTTCTTTTTAATTTTGTTTAGCACTAGCAGTAACGAATATATAATTGCAAGGGCACTGAAAATGACATGTACATCGTGTCATTTTTGCACTCTGATTGAAAAGACAATTTGCCGAAACATGTCTAAGATATATAGGATACATTAGAATGCATATAATGGGATGTACAAATGAAAATTAAAGGGGTGGGGATGGGTTTTTTTATTGGGGGGGGGGGTACTGGTCCATGATTGCGCACCATCACGCGTACTTGTTGGGTAATGGGAACATATTAAAATTTGGCGAAACGGAATCAAGACCCAGAGATAGCCTGCAATAATTGTTGCTGAAGCATGGCGATCCTACCAGGCCTATTGATTGTCCGGGACCAGACAACGTCGGTGGTTATGCCCTCCGGTCAACTTACCTGTAAATATGTTACTTGTACCTAGCTCGTTTTTGTCCCCAAACCAGCAGTCATGACCAAAGATGACCATTTTTTAACAATTTTAGAGTAGGTAAAAATTGGCTAAACTGTGACATGACCTGGTTTGAAGTGACGTAACCCAAGCCGCCATGATGAGCCCTTCTCACTGATCGTAATTATGATCATTAAAAGATATCTTATTATGTCTTTCATCAGGAGATATGCACCAGCGGTTACTACACATCAAATTACATATTAATTGATATGATTTTGTAAACAAGTAAATGTTTTATGTAAAATATTGCTAAAATGAATTGATGCATGCCCATATGCGCACACGTGGGTTTGTTATGTATCATCAGGTAATTTCAAAGAAATTAAACAACAAAATACACATTTTACACAGTTTCTTCTTGGTTTCAAAAATCATTGTACCTGTAAACAATAATTATGAACTCGCTGATAATAAACAAATTACAAAAATCCTCAGAATCCCAAACGGTTTGCCTTTCATTTTCAGAGATCGATTTTCGGAGCCTGAACATTGGTTTATTTTCAGATTATTTTGGAGTGCAAAATATTCGAGTAGAAGTGTTTTTCAGATTTTCAGCCTTAAAAAGTACCTGCTTAAATTACATAGGTGCGCAAATTACACAGGTTAGATCTACTGCTTGTATTTGCATGGAAGGCTTTTAAAATTTTATCATAAATAATATGATAATTCCATTATCTTAAACAATACATAATGGTCTACTTTCACATTGGGGATAGATTTAATATCTGTTTATAGAAATAAAATTTGCAAGCACTGTTTGAAGTTTTGGATGTAGAAATTATATTAAGACATCAAGACAATCAGAAACAACACTCAAAGCACATCAGAAAGGTACATCTAAATATTGTTAGTAAAGGTGTTTGATGTATATGATAAGCTGATTAAGGCTGTCAACACCAGGGAAAGTGAAATGGATGGCCAGAGGACTGTTGCATAAGGAGAATGAGAATTGAGAACTTATAAAGTACCCAATAAAATAAAAATAATGTTATTTTTGCTATATCTCACTAGCATGAACAATATTCAAGCAAGATGCAACAGTAGACGTTTTACCTTATTCCCAAATCAGGAACTAATTGCAATAAGATGAGAAAAAAATTTGGGACTAGACTACCAGATTATCCATTTGGCGCCTTGAAAAGGACACTTGAAGCCCTGTTATGGCTGGTGTTTCAGTCATTTTCATAGGTCTTAAAAATTGTCTTAATTGATGCAGCAAACTGATTGAGAATAAAGTATTCATCCTTACTGGCACTGAAGATGGAAGGCTGCAGGACAACGATCACAACACAGCAAGTCTCCACCTTCCTTGCAGCTGTCACAGCAGTCATGATTCACAGCTCGCCCAGGCCGTCTGTATTCACGTTCTCGACGTTTCTGCTTTCGAAGGGCTTCTTCACTGACTGGTGGAGACACCAGTTTCTGGATTTGCTACAAAATATAATAATCCAATTTTACTTATATGAGAGGTGAATTGTGCAAATGGTTTTTGCTATTTATATTTTAGTTCAGTTATTTACTAAGTAAAACAGTTATCTTTGTGTTTTAATGCGCTATAAACGACTACGACATGGGTTTTTTAACTCATTTTAACGTTATGCACATTGTCCGGCTAAGATACGCGAAGGAAAGCCCTCCCTAGTGAACCGGAATATCTCCACCCAAATCGATGTGTTTCAACTTCTGTTCCACTCTCTTCACAGAAACAACATCATACTAGTTTGACAGCTCCAAAAACAATATTATTATAGTTTAGTGTTTGAGAAACGTTGATATAATGCTACAATGCGTTACTATGTTTAGACTTCGACTAAACAGCAGCCATGACAGTTTTTCACGAATCTCGTGTTGTTCAGTATTCGGCCGTGCTTGACACACCAAATAACCAAACAACGTTTATCATCACATCAAACAACTTACCTCCATCAGCCCGCCTGATGTATCTAAGTCATATTCGACCGTAGTCATGATGAAGTGTTAATTGTATCTGCTACTTGCAAGGTGTTGCAGAAGACCGAATATCTTAGTCGAAAGCCATTCTTCTTTTCTCGGCGATCGAGAGAATATGGCTAGATTGCAACCAATTTAAGAGCTACATTCAGGGAAAAAATCTATATAATATACATATTAATTTTGAAAAATATATTTGCTTAGCACTCTTTATCATTAAAATTGCATCAAACCCGTTTTTGGTGGAATAAAATGGAAATTCTTGAATATCTCTTCTTCAGAAAGCAGAAAGTTGGCGCAAAATGTCGGCCATTACATATGCGCATGCGTTGATCCGGGAAAGTACAACATACGCATGCGCATTTTGCATAAACGGAAGTCGTGAAGGTGAAGGTCATTTATGATTTTGTCGGTGCATTCGATAGCAGAAACTATTATTTTGTTATCTTTATTATCGTATATCTCAAAGACAACATTTTCCTACTTGTAACAGTTTTTCGATCAGAATGCAGCATATAACTTATACAAGATATATAGCATGGACATATCTGATTGAGAAGATTGATTGAAATTTATAATAAATAAATAATTAAGAAATAAAGAAAGATAAGAAAAAAAAGAAAAGAAAGAAGGAAAGAAAGAAAGAAAAAAGAAAAGATTTTTTTTCCGAGTTGCCCTTTTAGAGACAAAACATTTGAAAACAGTCTCTGTTACTGCCAGAAAAAGCTCTGTCAAACTCTGTCAATATCCGATTACAAATAAAATCCGCTACTGAAACGTAGATAAATATAGGAGCATATAATTAACTCTAAAATTTTACTAAACCCAGAGACGTATGTAAAATATACGTTCCTGCTCAATCTAAGAACTTGAAATATATATTTTTCGATAAACAAGTTTATAGCTCTTGTTGACCAGGATTGTATAATGCCAAACAGACAACATACTGTTAGCAATTACAATTTACGAAATCAAAACAATTATGTGATTCCAAGACGTCGATTAACCTTATTTGGGAAATAGTTCATTCCTAGCACATTAACACTTTGGAATAATCTTGATATTCAAATCAGAATATGTAATACGCTTTCTACATTCAAAAATAAAATATCTTTTAAAGGAGAATGTGCTCCTGATTTTTATTCCACTGGTGAATGAAAATTTAATGTTTTGCATACAAGACTCCGGTATAACTGCAGTTCCTTGAGCTCTGACCACAACGTATAAATGTTATTCAGTCGCCTGAATGCATATGTTTTCATCATATAGAAAATGTTGAGTATTATATTTTTGAATGTCCATTGTATGTAGAAGCCAGAAATACCCTCAGGAGAAAACTTTTAGGGAATTTGAATTCAGATTTGTTAACTGCTGATTCACATTTGTATGGTTCAGACATGTTTACTGCTAATGGAAATTGTTTTCTATTCATATCAGTTCAAGAATACATTCAAAATTCAAAACGGTTTAGTTAAAAATATGTTAAAATAAAAGTAAATATATCTCTATATCGCCTGCACGTGGTTAGCATTGTGGTACTATGATGACGCAGTGGATCGCATCCGGGATAGCAGGGAGCCTAGCTAGCTCGGAACTCTTAAGGAAGCCAAGGATGTGTGATATTTATACTTGTTGAAAGCAGACATTATGGTGCGGTGCGTTTTAAAGAAAGCTTCAAGGATGTGATCATTGTGTGTTGCAGTCTGCTGCGTCTGCAGGTTGATTTCAAAATTTATTTTAAATTATTGAATGTTATATTGTTTTAGTGACTATATGATATGCAAATATAAACTATAAATTGTTATAGTAATTTTACAACGTATGTTTATATTAAATACAGGTTAATAAGACATGTAAGGGTACATTAAATTTAAAATATAATCTATAAGATTTATGTATTGTACATTTCATCTTATTTTTGTCTCCTTTTGAATCATCTAAATTTACAGTAATGAATGCTTTCTACTTTGCAGCCATATGTACATATCATCATTACTGTTTTAAGGGAGAAGACGAACTTTAAGTTTTATAACTTGTGTCTAATCCCTTTTGTATTTATTGCAAATAAAATATGTTTAAATCAAAAAGGGAACCGGTGTACCTAGAGAAAACCTGAGTGTTCGTGTGGTGACCCAACACGCCACCGGACCACCATAGGAAACGTTGTCGTCGTTGTTGTTTTCAAATTGGAAATGGAAATAGTGGGCGAAAACGAATTCGGTTTAGTTTAAACATATTTTATTGCAATATAATTACAAAAGGATTGGACACAAGTTATTGCAACTTATAAACGCCCTTCGGTATTCCTCGATTAACAAAAAAAACCAAACATCTGAAAACAAATTGAATATACCTAGCGAGCATTTCCACTAGAGTACATGCATTTTAATAGATTTATACTAGATACAATTTGACCAAAACTTCGATATGTTAGCGGATCAGCCGGATCCAATACAAAAATCCACGAGTCCGGTAGTTTGGTCGTAAGTGTCTATTTATATAAAATAAAGAAATTATTACGTAGTTGTAAAATTATTAGCAAACTAAAATAGCCCTAATTCCCTATTAAACTACCGTAAATAACATCGAAATATTTGTTCAATATTCTGACTTCAGTTAATATAGAATTCATACTCGATTTCTGTTATCTTAGTGGGGATTGGGCTAAAACGCCGGGTAAGATTTGATAGTGTATATATTTCGTGTTTCTATTGTTATTTCAGCAATATCAGTTTATAATGCAATTGCAAAATTGCAAATAAACATTGAATATGATTTAAAACAAATAATGGTAGATTTGCTGTTGGCTTTCTATTTAAAACAAAAACATATAACTGAAAATTTTGATTGATGTATTTCACTTTTCAAAATGTAGATAATATGTTTTATTTTCTGCTTTGAATAAACATTAACTTTTCGGTATATTTTTTGGTTATTTTCTAAGTGAAAAGAAGAAACAGATAATTAACAGAAGTCCAGACATCCGGCAAGATTTTATGTAACATTGAATATCTAGCTATTTTTATGTCATCAGGGTGAGAGTTTCCCATTAATTACTTACCCCGGACAATCGATCGCGTTTGTTCTGATATTCAAATGTGTCCCAAAGTAATATACGTAACCTATAATTTACATTTAAAACTTTATTATTAACGCATTTTAATGATATTTATGAGATATGTCCATATATGATTATTCACCACTTGAAAAACTAACACAATCTAGGCCGGTATCAAGATCAATTTTTGCATCGCTCCCGTTCATTGATGTGTCGCGTTCCACCACAGGGGTTCGTTACAAATGTCTGAAATACACATATGTATGTTGTATGTATGTGTATGTTTATTTGTGCTGTGACCCATACCAGTATAGCATATGTGTATTTTAGACATTTGTAACGAACCCCTGTGATTCCACTAAGCGAAGGTATACTTTTAATTAGACTGACAGCAACACATATGTTCAAACGATGGCATTAGTATTAAACAAAACCGTAACCACGAAACATTAACTTCAGTTCAAGGTACACTATTGTTACTGTGAGTATAAGGTAGACTATTATTACTTGGAGTATAAGGTAGCCTATTGTTACTTTGAGTATAAGGTAGACTATTGTTACTTTTGAGTATAAGGTAGGCTATTGTTACTTTGAGTATAAGGTAGGCTATTGTTACTGTGAGTATAAGGTAGACTATTGTTACTTTGAGTATAAGGTAGACTATTGTTACTGTGAGTATAAGGTAGGCTATTGTAACTTTGAGTATAAGGTAGGCTATTGTTACTGTGAGTATAAGATAGACTATTGTTACTGTGAGTATAAGGTAGACTATTGTTACTTTTGAGTATAAGATAGGCTATTGTTACTTTGAGTATAAGGCAGGCTATTGTAACTTTGAGTATAAGGTAGGCTATTGTTACTTTGAGTATAAGGTAGACTATTGTTACTGTGAGTATAAGGTAGGCTATTGTTACTTTGAGTATAAGGTAG